AAGGTCCCCCGCGAAGTCGTTCGCGATCTTATCGGTCACCTCCATGGAGAGGTGGATGACACCTAGGCTTGCCGCAGGGCAGGCCCTGGGAAGATTTGGGCTTGGACCAATCAGTGTGGCAGCGTCGTGTGGACCAGGATCAGTGCATTTATTGCGGTGATCCTGGCCACATCATTAAATATTGTCCAAAGTACAGAGAAGCCCATTATGTTGCGCAGGCAGCAAAAGGCAACCACTGGTAGGGGTCACAACTGCCCTTACCCCTAGCCCATGTGGAGAAGAGTGCGTGCACCACAGAGGAACTCCCAAACCACATGAGCCTATGGCAGAGGTTGTTGGCCAGTACCTAGAAAGTTGTCCAGAGACTGCTTGTGTTAGAGTCTCCCTAGGTACTTCCCTCACAGGCATGGTTGAAGAGATGAAAGAGAGGATACCTGCCTAGGCCAAGATGAAAAAGGATGCGAAAGGACAGTTAGTGCTAGTAGATGTAGAGATTTTTAGAGGACGAGTAGGGGCCCTTATAGACAGTGGGGCCACCTGCAGCTATATCAGTAGGAAAGCGTTGCAGAAGTTAAAGCTGAATTTGAAAGTCCAAAAGCTAGAAGACCCTATAGTCAGTATCCTCGCAGACAATCGCACCATGTGAGTTGAGGATTACGTTGAGGGAGTCCAGGCGTACTTTCACATCGAGAAAGATGGGAAGGTGGAGAAAGTTCTCCATTCCCTGACTCTCCTCGTAGAGGACAACCTTCCTTTCGATATGGTTCTAGGAATGGACAAGGGAGAGGCAGCAGGGGCCACATTCCATTTGAGAGAGCATGGGTGTAGGCTCCGTAGTCCCACATGTGAAGTTAAGACTGCTCGCCTGTTTGATGTGTCAGGAGCAGATAACTCTCTGGCACATTGTTGTGTCAGTGCTCCCACGTTCGCGCGTTTAGTAAAAAAGGAGCAGTTAGAAGAGCAGGTATTTGTATCCTATGTGAGGCCAGTCTCCGAGACTAAGGAAGAGACACCCATAGACCCTGCTATTGCCAAGCTGCTGGTAGAGTATACAAATTTAGTTAAGCCGCCTACAGGAGCAGTGTCGCAACCGATCCAGCATCGCATAGAGATAGAGCCTGACAGTAGGACTCCTAAGGCAGCTATCTAGAGAATGTTCCCAAGGGAGTTAGAGGAGCTGCGTAAACAGTTAGACGAGCTCCTTGAGAAGGGTTGGATTAGGCCCCGTTCATCTCCATTTGGAGCACCTGTTCTTTTTGTCCCCAAGAAGGAGGGAGAGCTCAAGATGTATATAGACTATAGGGGTGTTAATGCTATTACAGTAAAGAATGCAGAACCACTGCCCCGTATAGATGATCTGTTGGATCGGGTGCAGGGCTGTAAGTATTTCTCGAAGATAGATTTAAAGTTCGACTATCATCAGATAAAAGTTCATCCTGATGATCAGTACAAGACAGCATTCCAGACTAGATATGGGCACTACGAGTGCCCTTTGGACTAAACAATGCGCCAACAACATTCCAACGTTGTATGAATGATTTGTTTAGGTCGTGGTTAGATAGATTCGTCTTAGTGTACTTAGATGATATTCTAGTCTTTAATAAGACCCTCCAGGAGCATTCGGGTCATTTGAGGTAGGTCTTGGAAAAGCTTAGAGAGGCTAACTTCAAGATCAACGCAAAGAAGTGTGAATGGGCCAAGACACAAGTTTTGTACTTGGGCCACGTTTTAGACGGAGAGGGCGTAAAACCTGAAGACAACAAAATCGCAGCAATTAGACATTGGCCAACGCCCAACACACTGACAGAGTCGCAGTCGTTCTTAGGCCTAGCTAACTATTATAGGAAGTTTGTCAGGAACTTTTCCACCATCGCTGCACCCCTTCGCAGGTTGCTAAAGAAAAAAGCAATATGGAAGTGCGACAAGGACTGCACATCTGCCCTGAGGAGATTGAAACGGGCTTTGATAGAGTATCCTGTCCTTAAGGTAGCCGATCCGTCCCTGCCCTTCATTGTTACCACTGACGCAAGTCAGTATGGTATAGGTGTTGTCTTACACCAAGACGATATAGGCCCGTAAAGTTCATGTTCGCCAGGATGCCTTCAGAGAAGGTAGCGACATCAACCTATGAGAGGGAACTCTACACTCTCAGGCAAGCACTAGATCATTGGAAGCACTACTTGCTTAGGAGGTACTTCAAAGTCTATTCGGACCACGAGACTCTAAGGTGGTTGAAGACATAGGCCAAGATGACACCTAAGCTTACTAGGTGGGCCGCAAAGTTAGATCGGTATGACTTTGAACTTAAGCCAGTAAAAGGGAAGTATAACGTAGTTGCGGACGCTCTAAGGAGGATAGCTGATTACTTTGGAGCGATAGTTCACTACCTGGATATAGGGAGAGACCTGCAGCAAAAGGTCAGAGAAGCATATGTGTGGGATCCTATCTATAGCGACCTCCTCAAGAGAGTTAGGGAGGCCCCACAGTCTTAATCAGACTACCGCACTACTGATGGATTGCTATTTGAGAAGACTAATGTAGTTTACCGTCTGTGCGTTCCTAACAGTGATGAGATCCGTAGTTTGATCTTAGGGGAATGTCATGACACAGAGGGACACTTCGGTTGGCAGAAGACATTAGCCAACCTCATGCGCGTGTATATCTGGCCTGGTATGAAGGCCGACTGCATAGAGTACGTCCACAATTGCAAAGTCTGTCAGAGAAACAAGACCACTACGCGAGCCCCTCTTGGTCTTCTCAGACCCTTGCCTATTCCTGATAGACCCAGAGATTTTGTGTCCATTGACTTTATGGATGCTAGGGTCAAGAGTAGGCATGGCAAAAGTCAAGTCATGGTCATAGTTGATAGGTTTAGTAAGTATGAAGTTTTTATCCCTTTGCCTGCAGAGGCACGGACAAATTTAGTAGTCCAGAAGTTCTTTGACCATTGGGTCAGTGAGCACGGTATACCGCTGTCGATAGTTAGTGACAAAGATACCAGGTTCACCAGTTAGAACTGGCAGGAACTGATGAGAGTTTATGGCTCAAAGTTATTGATGTCATATGGCCGTCATCCTGAGACTAACGGACAGACTGAACAGATGAACAAGCTCCCGCAACAAGTTCTCAGAATGTACATTAGGCCCGATCAGATCAACTGGGATGAGATGCTCCCAAACGTAGCCAGTGCATACAATAACAGCGTGCACCTAGCCACGTGTCGCACTCCCAACAAAATGCACAAGTCCTTTAGACCGCGTAGACCGTTTGAGGGACTAAACCGGGACCACATTCAAAGGCTTCCGCCCGCTACACGAGAGTTTGCGATACAGCGCAAGAAAGAGATAGCTACCGTTGTTGATAACCTTAGGAAAGCCCAGCACAGAATGATAGAGCAAGCTAACAAGCACCGTCGCCCCTCGCAGTTTCAAGTAGGCGACTTAGTCTGGGTCAAGTCAAAAGAGTTTGCTCCATGGCCAGTCTTAGAAGTCAAGAGCGGGGAGGATGGACCATCCTATACCATTGAGATTCCAGCACACCTCCACACCTACCCAGTATTCCATGCCTCAAAGCTGCAGCCTTGTGTCACAAGTCAACAGTTTCCATCACAGAGATACATGATCCCTCCGGACATGGACAGAAGATATGACATTGAGGGCATTGTAGGTGAAGATGTCTTCAGAGTAGAGGTTATGAGAGAGATAATAAGGGTAAAGGTCCTGCATTGGACTAAAGTTTTTTGGAGGACCTCGAATTTAGGCCGGCGGGAGTGAAACGGTTTTCACCTTGCAGAGGCAAATGCAGATCCCAGGATTTGATCCCCAGACCTTACCTTACCCATGTACAGTATCGAGTCGACCCCTGAGTGTTTGAACCCGCGACCTGTGTTCTGGTAGTTTCGTAGGTCTGTGTAGTTGTAGGGGTTCGATCTGTAGGTCTGTCGAGTAGGGGTCACAGCTCTGTAGAGGTCGTAGTTGTAGGTGTCCTGAGAAGTCAAGGTCGTAGCTGCAACAGTCCTGAAAGGTCAAGGTCGTAGCTGCTACAGTAATCGAAAGGCCAAGTCCACAGATTTCCGGAAGGTCCGG